CCCCAAAACCCCAAAACCCCAAAACCCCAATATATTTTAAAAATTGAAATTTTGCATAATTAATAACAAAATCAAATATGGACTTATTTTCCCTCACAAAATTACTAGAGGAGGCGAAATTTCACCCACTGAACTTTCTGGTACCAACTCGAATAGCTCCTCTTGATCGAAATATGAGCTATTCATTAGGCCAAAACCATGCCAGGGAGCCCAAAAAAGGTAATAATCTGGCTCCACCTCGCTAGGCAGGACAGGGTTCCTTCTGTAGCTGAGGGAGCTTCTTTAACAAGACAGTTTATCTATCCAAAATCAGAATCTTCTTATCAAGTATAGACGAGGAAGTATTCTACAAATTCTATTCAGAGTCACAGTCAAAATGGTTTGCTCTAAAAATAGCTCCTTGCCCTCAAAAATACCTTGAATCCCCGAAAACTCAGTAATTTTCACTTAAATTTTAGAGCTAAACTGAAATGATGTCAAGGAGTTCTTAGCCCAGATTACAGCTTTTGGTATGAAGACGAAGGAGAAGTTCTGTATTACACTATTTTCAGGTACGAATAAGCTGATCCATTATCTAGTGTTGAACAAGAGGCGGTCTTTCTCTCCACAATCCTTGCTGAGAGAGCAGCAGATGAGAGCTCAGATCAGCAATTTTGCCACCAGCCTGAAGAAAATATAGAATTCGATGACGAACTCATGCCATTCAAATAAAGGAGCAGTCAACTGCTACCCATACTTTGAAGAGCAAGAGCTCTTAAGAATCTGGGAGCAGATCACTGCAAGTCTGTCATCCCTCAGACATAGGAATCTTTGTCACAGAGAAGTCTGTCCGTCAAATATTCTCGTTACACAATTCGAAGATTCCCAACCAAAAGTAAATTTTAAAGAAGATTTCTATTTATAGGGCCTACCAGGTGATCAGAATTGTTCACTCCTTAAAAAGATCAAAGTGTTTCAGCATAAAAATATGCAAGAGAAGCCTATGTTTCCAAAGTTGGTACATGAGCCGATGCCAAGGCAGAAGACATTCAAGTTCCCTCGGATCTCTAGCTTAGAAACGATCAAGGCGAACCTGACGAGGCTACCTAAGTTTGAAGAACTAACTTGCTTCAGGAAAAATAAGGGTTCATTTACAACAAGGTTCAGCACGAGGTCAAGCCATACGAGGAACTCAGAGATCCCTCAGTACGAGTCTCCTAAGCAGACACCTAATGTATTTCCCTTATCGCCTTCTAAGCTACACCTGAGGTCTCAGAGGCTTTTAAATTTCTCTTCTTTACCAGTAAAGAAGCCAGAGAGGTTCGTGAGTGGCTGAAAGATACTTATTTCAGATAATTTGTGTACAATCAACCAAGTAAGACGCCCACTACCAAAGCTGAGTCCAGAGAACTTATCGATGACAGATCTTACCTTCGCTTCACCTCTGATAGAAGGCTTCTGCCAAGAATTTCATGCTTGGAATAAGTTGATTGGCAAAGAGTTCAGATATAAAACTCCTGCTGAAGAAGATGTGTACTCTTTAGGTAAGAAATCCTGATTTTAATTTATGACTGATTGCCAAAAGTTTCCTCATATTTCAGGAACTCATAAAAGAGTCATTAGAAGTGGGGCTACACAATATATCCTTGAGTTTTAAGCTGACTCAAAGGTATTTGATTACTTTGCCAAGTGTAAATCTCGTGACATCTCTGGCCTAATTGTTGGATCTTAGACTTTTGATTACCTAATTTCTGATTGGAGTTAGACAGAATTAAATCCCTCCAAATTTAATTTCACCAAATTTTACTTAGGTTGAATATTCCTCAACACATTGGTTCTTCATAAGGAAAGAGTACACAGAATTAAGAGAAAGGTAAACAGATGAAAGAGTAGTAGGGAACGGACAGAAGTGATCACCCAGGCTCTCCAACATTCAACAGGTACTTTAAGCAATTCATTTTTAAGAATGGAGCTCTGAATTTTTGATATTTTTATTGTTATAACACATTCTAGAGCGCTCTGGTCAGAATTTACCATATCACAGCGTGAAAGAAATGATCAAACTGATATCTTGTTGTCTAAACCCTTGATCTAAAGAAAGACCTTCCTTTGATGCAGTGTTAGGGCTTATCCAGTGAATGCCTCCTCAAAGAAATGTTAGGGTAAGTTTTCTGCTATAAATAAGCTACTCAAAGTTTCTAGGAAGATTTTTTTCTGTAATTCCTTCCTGTGTTTACATAAAAAAATCAGATAATTTCTCTATCATGAGATTTTACACCAAATTTTAAGCCAAAATTTTGTTTGCATTCCGAAATTATTCATAAACGATAACCATTATAGAAAAGAGTATGTAGCCCTGAAGTCTTATCGCAAGAGAGTTCATTCGACTCTCTTTGTAACTTATCAACGGACGAGAAGATTCCTAATAAGTTTCGGTACCTCAATTAAGCACCCGATGGTTTGTTTTTAACTGGATCTTTGAACTATTCCACCTAATAAATCTTAAAATCTAATATTACTTGGCTTGCTGGGTTAGGGGTTTTGGGGTTTTGGGGTTTTGGGG